TAAGCCCATCTCCATGGGACAAATCTGATGCCCTCTTCTTGCCTCCACAAGCACACACACACACACACACACACACACACACACACACACACCTCATGCAAAAATTTTAAAATAAATTCCTAACCCCTTAATTATCTTTATAGTTTTATTGTGCCTGACCCTTGACTTTTTTTTTTTTTGCCAATGGTTAAAATTTACAGAGAGAAGACTCCCCCTTAACTTAACCAGTTTACATTTACAGGAATTTGAATTTTATGAATATGTCTAATTTAAAAAATAATAGCAGCAAGGGGCTGGAGAGATGACTCCACAACTAAGAGCACTTGTTGCTCTTGCAGAAGACCTGGGTTTGGTTCCCAGAATCCACATGTTGGCTCATAGCCATCTATTAACTCCAGCCCCAGGGGATCCAATGTCCTCTTCTGACCCACCAAGGGCACCAGGTACACAAATGGTGCACATACATACGTACAAAACACTCGTGCACACAAAAGTAAATAAATCTTAAAAAATAAAAGGTACCATTTCTATATGATATAATCTATACAACGTAATTTATTTTTCTGTACAATTCAATATTTGGGAGATAGCCCTGAAGCTCCTCACGACCAATATTAGCTAGTTTTCAGCATTTTTTATTATTCAGGAAGAAACTCTGCCTAATACTAGTCATTTCCCATTCACCCAAAATTCTCTCTGTATCCAGACGCAGAAAACCATTTATTTGCTTTTTATCTATACTTGTTTTTTTCTGTATATTTATTATAAAAGCAATAATATAATATATAATCTTTTGTATCTGGCTTCTGTGACTTACATAGGTGCCGGGGATCTATATCCTTCCCAGCCCCTGGATATGCAACTACTCCTTTTGTGGTATTGAAGGAAGACAGGGTCTCACTGCTTGTGTAGCTATGACTGACCTGGAGTGTACTATGTATTTGGGTTGACCTGTCGTTTAGCTATTATGAATACTTGTTTGTAAGCTTTTGTATGTCCATATGCTCTCGATTCTCTTGCGTTTATATTAGGACTGGAATAGCTGGGTGGTGTAACAAAGCTAAATTTAACCTTGGAGAACGACACTAGATCCCACTGACAGCAAGTGCAGATTCTTTGTCTTTTCATTGTTTCCCTGTAAGAATTCTATTATTCTTTTAATTCTTTTATTTTATGGGGGCTAGGATAATGACTCAGTGGCTAAAAGCATGGGTCTCCTCTTCCAGATGATCTGGGTTCAATTTCCAGCACCGATAAACATCTGTAACTCCAGTTCCATTGGACCCAATGCCCTCTTCTGGCTTCTGTGGGCACTGCACACTTGGTGCATAGATGTATATGTAGATTAAACACCCATATAAAATAATGAATAAAACAAAACTTTAAGAAAGATATGTGTGTAAGAGGGGGAGAAGGAGAGAGGGAGAATGAGAGAAGGTGTGTGTGTGTGTGTGTGTGTGTGTGAGAGAGAGAGAGAGAGAGAGACAGACAGACAGACAGACAGACAGACAGGGCATGTTGCATCATGGGTAGAGAGGTAGAGGACAGTTTTGTGGAATTGGTTCCCTCCTTCCAGTTTTCATGATTTTCCGGGATTGAACTCAGGCCACCAGGCTTGCATGGCAGCACGTTACCTGATGATCCATCTTCCCAGACAAGCGATAAAATTTGTCCAATACAATACTGTGATATACATATCAGGGTTTTAGTCTACTTGACAGAATGATTGACATGAAGATTTAGGTATTAGGTAGACAATTTCTCAAAAGAGAGCCCTATCAGCCTGGTACTTAAAGGAAAACAACTCTGTTACCAGTGATGAATCTGAGATTTCAGGGGAAAATTAGAATTTAGGAGATCTTTCATGGCTTCATAGCTTCTGATATGTATTGTACTTCCTTCCTGCCTTCCTGCCCTCCTTCCTTCCTCCCTCCCTCCCTCCTTCCTTCCTTTTTTTCTTTCTTTCATCTTTTTTCCTTCAAGACATGGTTTCTCTGTGTAGCCCTGGCTATCCTGGAACTCACTCTGTAGACCAGACTGGCCCTGGACTCATCGAGATCCACCTGCCTCTGCCTCCCAAGTACTCAGACTAAAGGCATGAGCCACCACGGCCTGGATGTTTTTGATTTTTTATTTTGTTTTTCATTTTTTTGCTGTAGTTTTGGGATTTTTTTGTTTTGTTTTTCTTTAATGATGTCAGCATTTTTCCCTTAATGAGATCATGCATGAATATCAGTGAATGTGAACATGATGCCTGTTGTGAGATGTATCAGGGCTGTCATTCTGAGTTCCAGGTTCTGCTGACAACAAGCTGGCTGCGGTGCAGTCTACTTCCCCCGCCTCTCCGCATCACTCACACCCTACCCCGAGAACTTCACTTTATCCCTCCCAGATCATCAAATTCTTTAAGACCCTTCACCTTGTTTTCCCGCAAGAGAATCAATAAAGATACCTGACCCAGAAGAGGAAGCCTGCACATTTTATATACTTGTCTTTTATGGGTTTCAATTAAATTTCTCTAGCTCAGTTTATGCTGTTGATTAATACAAAATGAATGTGAAAATGACTGCCCCGTTCTCTTATCCGTCACCTTGCAGTCTGTTGACAGCCCTGATGTGCCCTCAGAGGCTCGTGTACCATCTTCATGTGGATGTCTAGCAGGCATCTTTTTCTACGGCTTTGATAAGATAGATACTTTCCCAGCTATTTCAACAAACAAACTCTAGCTTTCTTGAGTGTCTCACGAAAACCTCATGTACGATTGAATCTTGATTGCTGAGTAAGAACTAAACAGAGGTGGAAGACTCACTAAGGAACCTCTCAACCTTATTGTTCCCAGTGCTCAGAGGCTGAGGCAGGAGGATTTCAAGTGGAAGGAGAGAAGGGAGGGAGGGGGAAGACTGTAGCAGAACCCGATGGACATCAGACACTAGGCTACCTATCCTAATAAACCAAATCTGATCTCTAGCTTCCACTAGTCCCCAACCCCAAAACCTGGCTAGGATTCTAATATATCCAATTTATTTTTCTCTCACACTCTTCTGTCATAAAAAAAATACTGAAAACAAAAACTGCAGCCTGAAGCCGAAAAAGCTTGAGGCAGATTTTAGAGAAATCTGTATGGAAAATGTTTGTACTGGTTATGTGTGGAGTACTCTGCAAATGCCAGCCACAATCAGGAGAATCTCACGGGGTTGTGCTGGCTGCCTCTCTCTGCCCAACGCTCCTGAGAACCCAACGACTGTGCCCTGGTCTCAGAAGCTGAGTGGACTGTTCTTCCTTGGCCAGACAGGTGATGGGATAGCAGATATTTTACTGTGACTGTCTCTCCTACTTCTCCCTATGCATTCCATAAGACCTTGCTTCAAAGTTCCCTCCCTATTCCAAAGGAATATCATTCAGAAAAAAAACAAAAAACAAAAAACCCAGCCCAGAGAAAGGGACAGGGGTGGCAGTACAACACTATCATCTCAGGACTCGTGAAGCTGAGGCATGAGGGTATCAAGTTCCAGTCCAACAGCGGCCACATAGCGTAGCGTGGCCCTCCATAAGGGAGGTGCAGGGGTGGGGGTGGCAGCGAGAGAGAGAGAGGAAAGAAGGAAGCCTCCTTGCTCAGACAAGGAAACAGAAAAGAATTTGAACATGAATGCTGTACTGCTTGTACTTTTGTTTGTTTGAGAGGAACCAGGGTTATCTGGGAAAAAAAGAACCTCGGTGGAGAAAATGCCTGCAACAGATGCCATAGGCAAGTCTGGGGGCATTTATCTTTTATTAATAACTGGTAGGGGAGGAGCCCAATACTTTGGGTGGTGCCACTACTGGCCAGGTGATCCTGGGCTGTTTAAGAAAGCAGGCTGAAGGAGGGAGGAACAGGAATCCCATAACCGTACCCTCCACGACTTCTGCTTCAGTTCCTGCCTCCAGCCAGATTCTTGCCCTGGGTTCCTGGCCTGACTTCTTTAATGATAAACAGTGAGGTGGAGCTGTGAGCCAAGTAAACCCTTTCCTCCCCGAGCTGCTTTCAGTCATGGCGTTTTTATCACGGCGATAGAAGCCAAAGGACACACCTTCCTACGCTCCTCATCTCCAGCTAATTGCCATCAGGTCATACTTCTTTCCCAAGAATGCTTCTAAGCTATGCATTTTCCATCACTCTGAGCGGCAAAACACACAGGATTCCATACTGTGGTGTGGGAGGTCCTTCTGTCTATGTGTTGCTTTTATTGGTTAATGAATTAAAAAAACTGCTTTGGACCTTTAGCAGGACAGAACTTAGATAGGCAGAGAAGATGGAACTGAATGCTGGGAGGAAGAAGGAGAGAGAAGCCATGATCCACCGCCTGAGACAGAAGCTGGGAACTTTAGCTGGTAAGCCACAGCCACATGGTGATATACAGAATAATATAGATGGGTTAGTTTTGGATATGAGTTTAGCCAGAAATACACTTAAGCTATTAACCAAGAGCTGTCTGCTTGAATACTGTAAACATTAGGATTAAATAAAATCAACAATAGGTCAAGAGGGAGAGCAAGGAGCAAGTTGACAGGAAAAAAACATACAGAGCAGGAAGTCAGGAGAATGGAGAGAGAGAGAAAGAGAGAGAGAGAGAGAGAGAGAGAGAGAGAGAGAGAGAGAAGAAGGGAAGGACATCTGGTTTGAGGAGTTTTGTTTGAGATGGCGTAGGAGAAAGGCCTATCTGGGACAATTCCAGAGGAGGAAGGTCATCTGGGTGCTTTCTGTGCCTCTCTGAGCTAGCAGGTTTTCACCCCAGCATCTGGCTCCCAGTCTTTACTGATAAAAATTAAATGATTGAGATTTTTGTTAAAAACAATAAGTGTTCTTGTTGGATATGTGTGCAACAAAAGCCTTCTTTCCACTGCTGCTTGTAATGTGTTTAGCATCTGAAAAGGGGCCCCCAAAGTCACTTCTTGGGAGGAAGATGATAACAGCAACACCACCCGAAGAATTAAAGGACATAATTTTTAATGACACAACAGTGTGGCTGCTCATGGTGTTCTTTTTATTCTGAGCACAATTTCTTGAATATGTACAGTCTCCATAAAACATTTGCCTGTTTTCCTAGAGTACTTGGGATTGAACCCAGAGACTTCACAAGACAGTAGAGTACTCTACCACTGAACCACATTTCTAGCCTTGCATAAGCACTATGTTCAGCACTGTTTAGATAAATTAATTTTTTTTGTTTTATTTTTTTGTGACAGGGTTTCTCTGTCGCTTTGGAGCCTGTCCTGGAACTAGCTCTTGTAGATCAGGCTGGCCTCAAACTCACAGAGATCAGCCTGCCTCTGCCTCCCGAGTGCTGGGATTAAAGGTGTGTGGCACCACCGCCCAGCATAGATAAAGTAATCTTAACTGATGTTCTTACAATGTGTTTGAACTTTCCCCCCCAAACAATCAGACAATGGATAATATTTGAGGAGTCACCCCCTAAATCTTATATTTTTGTTTGTGAGCCTAGCCTTTAATGGCTGAGCCATCTCTCCAGCCTGTAAACCCCTAATTCTTACTACCCAGGTGTTTGTGGAAGAAAGTCTGGAGTTGCTGCCACGCATCCACCTGGGCCATGGCATGAGGCTTAGGCTCCCCTCCAAAGATGATATTAGTACCCACCAGGACATGCATGCCAGCCTTGCACAGGGGGAAGTAAGGGGGCTCAATATAGTGCCCTGCTTCTGGGTATAAGAGGATCTGGGGCTTCTCCTTCCCATGGGCCTGCAAGCGTTTGGAGATCTCATTGGCATAGAACTCGCTCTTCCAGTTGTGGTCATCCTGACCCACAAGGAACAGGAAGGTGGTGTCAGACCTTTCCACAGGGATGAAGCTCTTCGTGTCTACCAAAGGGCTTTGAAGTCCTTCCACAACATCCAAAAGGCCATCTTTGGACACTTTGATTCGATCTCTCAGAAGAGACACAGGAGGGATAGTCTCATCTTTGTAGTATATGGTGTTCCCAACAGCGGCCACAGAGCCATTGATGAAGACAGCAGCCTTGATGCCCTTCAGGAAGGAGGCCATAGCAAGGCCAAGTTCACCCCCTTTGGAAATCCCAAGCAGCCCAATTCCTGGACCTTTCACCTGAGAAAAATATTTTAAAAAAGAGAGAATTTACTCCAGGAACAGTATCAGACAGTGAGTAGGCCCAGCTGGAAAAGTACATCGACCACAACCAACATTTGGAATCTATTTTTTTAAACCATCCTAGCAGGAATGAAGATTCTCTAAGAAGACACTGCACCCCTCCCTGTGGTCATTAGAATATTGAGACAATGGACCCCAAGAAACTAATGAAAACAAACATTCCGGCTGGCTGACCTTTCATTTGACACGAGCACTGATGTGCCATCAGCCCTGCCACGCATCACTGGTGTTTGGCTTCCCACTTCTCCAGAGGACCACCTCACACCCTTGCCTACCTCCTCAGCCTCTTGAGCCCCACATGTCCTGCATTCAGCTTTTCATACGGCAGTGAGAAACAGAAGCCATCAGGAGGAACGTCTCATTTCCGCACTCCCCACTCTACTTGCTCCCACGGCTGCTCATGCTCTCAGATGTCCCACAAGGAGCCACCTCTCCTTGTGTTTGGGATGCTGTCCACTATCTTACTCCAGGGTTGGCCTCCCACACTCACTTCCGGCCTCCTCTCCTCCTGACTTCCCTCTGCTGGTCCTCCAGGTCCTCTCTGCTCTGGGCCTCTTCTATGTCCTCACAGCCCTGCACCCTAGGTCATGCTAGTTATGACTTTGTTCTCTTCCTGGTTCCCTGCTGAACCTGTGGGAAGATGTCTGTTGTACTTTCCTTTCTTCCAGTCCCTACTCTGTGCCTTCTGGGCACCATCCCACAAGGACTGCCCCTGTCCTGAATCCCAGCAGCCTCTGTGCTATAAGCAAATGGCTATTTGGCTGACCTCTCATAGAAATAATCAATCAATCAATCAATCAATTAATCAATCAATCACTTTTTCTTTCTCCTCTTCCTACCCCTCCCCTCTGGCAACAATATCCTTGACCACTTTAAAATGTAATCCCCCACTAAAATACTAATAATTAGATGATCAAATATGTTTTAATTACCCTACTATGAAATTTTTAATTGTCAACTTGACACAATCTAGACATACCTGGGGAGGGAGTTAAATCAAGGAACCTAGGCTGAGTTGACCTACAGACATGCCTTTAAGGGGATTCTTTCTCTTTTTTATTTATATTTTATGTATGTGTGCTCTGCATGTTAGAAGAAGGCATCAGATCCCATTATAAATGGTTGTGAGCCACCATGTGGTTGTTGGGAATTGAACTCAGGACTTCAGGAAGAGCAGTCAGTATTCTTAACCCCTGAGCCATATCTCCAGCTCCTTAAGGGAATTTCTTAATTTCACTAACTAAGGTGGGAATACCTACTTTGAATGTAGATGGTGCTATTTCTAGAGTCAGGCCCTAGGCTGTATAAAACTGGAAAAAGAGAGATCTAACCTCAGGGTGACTGAGCAGGTAGTTCACGGCTTCTTCAAAGTACTCCATGCGCATGGCATCCATGCTTTTGGGGAGGTCATCGTAGTTATAATAAGCCAGAGCCAAGACAGCAAAACCCCTCCCAGCCAGAAGACTTGCTCGGTACTCCAGAAGGCCACCTCCAACTCCGAAAAGGTCCACGATCCCAGGATAGGGCCCAGGTTCTGGGGAAGAAACAGAACTAAGCATAAGTAGGAAGTATTTAATAATCAACGGTTATTGAACTCTTCTTCACAGTCTTGGCCACCTTAAACAAAAGGAATAATGATCCAAGAGCTCACCTACTTTCTTGTGCCAGCACCAGCCATCTTCAACACTCCATGAGATGACCACACAAAGACCATGGCTGGGTGTTATTGTTGTGTAATATGAGTTAAAGATGTGTTACATTTGTCTGTACTGTGGAACATTTGTTTAGTGATACAAAGATGTGTTGCATTCTTTTATGTTACATTTGTTTATCTTTGCATAGCTGTGTTACTCTGTCTAAAACACCTGATTGGTCTAATAAAGAGTTAGACAACCAATAACTTGGCAGGAGAAAGGAGAGGTGGTCCTGGCATGCAGATAGAATAAATAGAAGGAGAAAAAGAAAAGAAAGAGGAGTGAGAAAAGGAGGAAAGGAGGACTTCAGGGGCAGCCACCCAGATACACAGCAAGTCACCGAGTAAGAAGGAAAGAAAAGTATATAGAAAGGTAAAAGCCCAGAGACAAAAGGTACATGGGAGAATTTAAGTTATGAAAATCAGGCTAGAAACAAGTCAAGCTAAGGCCAGGCATTACTTATTCATAATAAGAATAAGACTCAATGCATTTACTTGGGAGGTGGTGGGCTCCCGCAAAATAACAAAGAATAAAAAGAAAACAAAATACATTATGGTGCCAGACAGTGTAGTGATGTGGAGCTCCTTCAGCCAATAGCCTTTAAGCTACCAGCCCACTTGGGCTTGGCCTCTTATACCATAAATTCATCTGTAAAGCCTGTGCTTGCTCTCTTGCTTCTGGTTGCTAGACTTTATTCCTGTTCCCCACTCGTGCAGAGATTGCATCCCAGGCCAGTGATCTGTAAGTCTCCCCTAAATAAATAACCCTTTATTATACATGATTCTGAACTAGTGTGGGATTATTTTGTATCTTCTCCCATTATTTGGCACCCGAACATGGGGACCAGTCCACACTTTTTGGATTGGTCCACCAGCTGCATGGCATATTGGGTACTGACTCTCCCACCTGCAGCTTTAGCTGACCCTCAGATACAGCAGGTTGCTGCTCACCGCTCCCCAGCTCGCAACCCACACACTGCTGCCTGCAATCCCTGTGGTACACACAGTCTGCAACCTGCATTGATGGAAAACTTGGGTTTGGGTTTTCTCTTTATCCTGGGCCCCAACTCTTGGAATTGTTTGACCACCTTAATAACTGTTCTTTTTTTTTTTTTTTTTTTTTTGGTTTTTCGAGACAGGGTTTCTCTGTGGCTTTGGAGCCTGTCCTGGAACTAGCTCTCTAGACCAGGCTGGTCTCGAACTCACAGAGATCCGCCTGCCTCTGCCTCCCGAGTGCTGGGATTAAAGGCGTGCGCCACCATCGCCCGGCTTAATAACTGTTCTTAATTTGTTAAACAAAGCATATTTTTCAGTACCTAAGTAAGCAATATATGCTGTTAGCTGCCGCCAGCTTCTCTGTCACGTGACTGCAGCTGTGACACCTGCTGTCCGATAACGATTATTATACCTACTCCAATTCACTGAAATTACTTTATGACAGGTAAGATCTGAAAAACTACAAAAAAAATGACTGATAACATCCTGGAGTTCAATAATTATTTTGCTTCTATTATGGAAGGTATTGGGCAAGACTTACGCTATTTTCCTTCCTATTATTTGATTCTAAGAATTAGCTTTGTTTTCAATATTATCTCATTTTAAGAAATGGTTCAATACTATGGAGAGGGATAGCATCAATTTGACAAGATTATCTCAAAGAATTTATGCTGTTGGATCTAACTATCAAAATCTGTTAAAAAGTTATGATATGTCCAAGGATGAGACATTACAGGAGTTTCAGACTTTTAAAAAGGCAGTACTAAAAAGATTTGAAAAGATTGAGGAATTTGTTGAAACTGATGAGCAGGGACAGAAGGTACAAGGACAGGATTTAGCCCTGGATGACTTACACAGAGTTTCAACTGCATATCCAGTAATTTCCTTGGAAAGATCATCTGGCACAAAGTACTCTAAGGTAGTCAAAGAATATGCATGGGAACCAATACATATGAGCAATCTAAAAGAAATAAAACAAGCAATGGTTTCTTATGGACTACATTCACCATTTGTCAGGGAAATGGTGGAAATGTGGGCCTCAAGTACTAAGGCCACCCCACACGATGGGCTTCAATTAATCTCTGTGGTTTAGAAAATGGACCTCAGCTGCTTTGGAAGTGTTATTGGAGAGAAGAGGCAAAAATTTTAGAGCAACAGGGAAATCAAAAGGATTTGAAACTTCCCAAGATCAAATTCTTGGCAACGGTCATTACTCTGATCCTCAGGAACAGGCTCACTAAAATGAATGCACCTTGTCCCTATGCAGCACAGCAGTTTTAAATGCTTGGGACAGGATTCAGGAACTAGGAAAAGGACTGAGGAATATATTAGGGTTAAACAGGACCGGAGAGAACCCTTTACTGATTTCTTACAAAGATTAACTAAGGCTGTTCAATTAGGAGTGACAGACCCTGAAGCTAGATGTGTACTAACTGAAAATGCTGGCTTAGAATGTAAGAAGATCCTCTAGTCTTTAAAGGTTAGATCAGTACCCATAGATGAATGGATCTTGTATACAATGAATGTTGAAACATTTGACTATACTACTGAAGCTTGGGTAGGAGAAGCAATTTCCAGTGGTATGAGGAGACACCGAAATGCCAAATGTTTTAATTGTGGAATAGAACATCTAAGAAGGAATAATGTATCTTCTAGGAATAGGAAGAATAGGAGGAGTCAACGTTCTGGTATATGTAGGAGGTGTGGCAAAGGCAGACACTGGACTAATCAATGTAGGTCGACAAGAGACAGATAAATCAACCCGATACCACGGGAAAATTCCTTGGGAGCCTTTCAAAGGCCCCAATGTCAAATAAGGCCCAGTCATTCCCAATCACTGTGGAGAACATGTCTCACCAGGAAAATTAAACAATCCAGTGCCTACTGAAAAAACAACAACAAAAAAAAAAACCCATACTGTTCTAGATGATGGAATAGACCTGGAGGATGAGTCAAAAACTCCAGTAGGAAATAGGAAACATACATTTTGGCAGACTTCTATAAATGATCAAAGATCAAATCTAAGAGGGTTTATAAATGACATTATAATTGAGGGATTACAAGACATGGGTGCAGATGTGACTATCATTACTCCAGAATCTTGGCATCCGGATTGGCCTCTTCAAAAGACAGATATTCAGTTCCTAGGATTTGGAACCCTATCTCAAGTAAAACAAAGCATGAGGTGGGTTGAATACATAGGACCAGAAGAACGGAAAGGAAGGCTGAGGCCATATGTAGCTAATATTGCAGTGAATTTATGGGACTGTGACCTATTGCAGCAATGGAATACCCAGGTTAACATTCCTGCAGTCCCCAAAACTCATGCTTCTGGGAAAGATATTATAAAATATTATATAAAAAAGGTCACCAGCCATTCAAGCTGTACAAGAACACAAAGCAACTAGCAAACCTTCAGAGGTACTAATGGCCATGCCTTTAAAATATTTAACTGAGAAACTCATATGGTTTAAACAATGGCCTTTAATGGAAGGCAAACTGCAGACTTTAGAACAGTTGGTACAGGAGCAATTAGATGCTCACCATATTGAAGAATCAACCAGCCCTTGGAATTCTCTTGTATTTGTTGATAAAAAGAAACCTGGAAAATGGAGAATGGTAACAGAAATAAGAGCTATCAACAAGGTTATCCTACCTATGGGTCCTCCACAGTCTGGAATTCCTCTGCCTCCTCTATTACCAAAAGGATGACCTCTTATAGTTATTGATTTGAAAGACTGTTTCTTCACTATACCTTTACAAGAAAAGGATAGAGAAAAATTTGCTTTCACGGTGCCCACTTATAATAATTCTCAGTCTACTAGGAGACACCAGTGAACCATCCTCCCAAAGGGAATGCTCAATAGTGCCACCTTGTGTCAATACTTTGTAAATTAGCCATTGGAAATAATATGCAAGTAATTTCCTAAGTTTATAATTTACCATTACATGGACGACATTTTGTTATCTGACTCAAATGCCAACACTTTAGAAAAAAAATGTTTGAAGAACTAAAAAAAAAGTTTTGCCTAAATGGGAATTACAAATTGTTCCTGAAAAAATACAAAGAGGAGATTCTGTCAATTACCTAGGTTATAAAATAGGTTTACAGAAAATTAGAACACAAAAGGCACAAATTAGGAGAGACCAATTGTGGACTCCTAATGACTTTCAAAGATTGTTAGGAGATATTTCCAGTCTAAGACCAGCTGATGGGATAACACTTGACCTAACAGTTCATTTAAACCAAACCTTAGGTAGTTATGAAGACTTAAATAGTCCCAGAGAATTAACAGCTCAACCAGAAAAAGAATTGATGATCATTGAAGAGAAATTACAGGAGGCACATGTAGATGGAGTGAATCCAAATCTTAATTGTATTCTAGTCATATTGCCTTCCAGAATTTTCCCTACAGGAATTTTAATGCAGAGGGAAGATATTATCTTAGAATGGATCTTTTTACCACATAAACCAAGTAAAAAATTAAAAACTTATGTGGAAAAAATCTCTGAATTAATTATAAAAGGAAAATTGAGACTTCATCAACTAGCAGGTATAGACTCAGCAGAGATTATAGTTCCTTTTACTGCTGATGGATTTAAAAAATTATGGGAAGACAATGAAACTTGGTAAAGAGCTTGTGCTAATTTTTTGAGAGACATTAATAGCAATTATCCCAAAAGTGATAGAATTAACCTTATAAAGAGAACTACTTGAATTCTTCCCCAAATTATACATGATGTACCAATAACTGGAGCCTGTACATTTTATACAGATGCAAATAAATCAGGAAAGACAGGTTACAAATCAGAAGAATTAAGTAAGGTGGAACAAAGCCCCTATA